CATGCTGGGTCGGGCCAGATCTCAGGGCAGACATAAGGTGTTTGTTAGTTATGGATAGCAGGTGGACGGGCTGTCATCAGCAGGTGCCTGCATGCAGAGTTAGGCCAGGTGATGGAATCCAATCTGGAGAAAGACCAGACCCGTGATAGGAGACTTAGAGCAGAGCTCTGAGATGGACTGAGATTAGGGAGAGATTTCCGTTTATCACTGAAGTGTTATGGATTGGTACAGTGGTCATACTGGGTCTGGGTGGAGATAGGGATGTGTATGGTTTGGTTTGCATAAATGTAAAGGACTGAGAACGTTGAGAACTGACTTTTCGTAAATTTCGAGATCTGCCCTGGTGTAAGACAGACCGTTGATGTTAGAAGAACAAGATGGGACATAGCAGCATGGATTATAAATACAGTATACTTAAATGGGTCATATGATGCGATTTCAAGTTTTCCTTTCTCTTTGGAGTGTTACAAGCTGATTGTGCATAGATAAGATCCCTGAAGTTGCAAAGACTAAAGTCTCAAACCCAAAGAGATATTCTTTATAAAAGTTAAGACTGGTCCACGCCCTCCTAAAACGCCTCGTTTAAACACGCCTGTCTACGTCACGATGTCTACGTCACGATGTGGGAAGATTTGCATAACGCTGCCCAAATCTTCACGCAAAGAAAGAAGGCGTAACTTTATTGTTGCTGCCACCGCCGCCGCCATGTTGTGAAGACGCTGTGTGTTTCGTTGCGAAAGCGAAAATACACAAAATAATGTTCTTTTTAGTAAACTTTAAATTTTTATGAAAATACCCAAGATGGCTTGAAGAACACAGATAAACTATGTATTGTCGCAGAGTGTTTATTGTCTTTGTTTCATCATTCAACATTTCTATCTTCTTTTTACTCCGCTAGAGCGAGAGCTGGATGCCTTTATCCATATTAGGGATTTCCTGGAGCATCATAAGTACTATTACGTCTGTGAGAAGTATTTGGAGTTTCGAGGGTGCCATCCAGCTTACAGTATGAATGAAACAGATATTACATGTGTTTATAGCACTCAATAATGATTAATCCATCCTATTTGGGTAAAAATAGGAAAAACAATAATTCTCCCAAAATAAATTTGAAGTAGACATATGATAATCCATGTTTTCCTCTAGTGTACAGGAGTTTTATTTTAAAGCGCAAATAACGACCCGAAATCCATGGTTTGTATTGAACCGTTAGCTAACTGTATTGATGCATCCCTAATGGAAATATTAGCTAATATATATACTGTATATATATATGTATACATTTCTTTATTCAATCTTCAGCTAATTTTCTGTCTTTTTTTATCAAAGTCTTTTTTTAGTCTCAAAATTTATGTAAAATAACATTAAATGATATACTACAATAAATATTATAAAAATACATACGAAATATTAACTAAAATTATAATACATTTGATTTATTTTATGTTTTTTGATATCATAACTTTTTTTTTTGAAACCTCAAAACTTTATCTGTTTGCAGGTTCCCAGATCTTCAGACTGTTTTCTGCTGTTTTAACGTTAAGATATACTGCCTAATATTTTAAAAATAGTGTGTCCATGTTTGTCTAACTTATCCAAAATTGGGATGTCAGCTTGCTTACATTTGTTGTTTCTCTCTTATCAGTCTTCCTGTTTAAAGTGGTTAATTGTTTGTGTTTAGAGTTCGTTTAGATATGCTGAGATCTGTAGTGAGAAAAAAAAACAAGATATTTTCTGTGTTTATGTGCTTTACGGCTCCACATCCACAGCTGGAATAACATATTTTAGCAGGAAGTCAAATCAAACAGCAGCACTAGCCATTCTTAAAGTCTCATGCCCCTTATTAAGAAGAAAACATGCTGTTCACATAGTGGAAGTATGAGACTGATCATCTTACTCATAGTAACCCAGAACTTTTGCATGACAGTTTAGATGTTTTCGAGACTCAATCTGTACTCAATGCTATGCAGTTGCTAGGTTATTTTGGTTGATTTTACGGAATTTCTATGCCATTGCTGGAGTGCTTTCACAAACACCATCAATACATGACATGTTGTGATTTTTAGGTGCAGCACACCTGCTAAATTACAAACTCAGTTAGTTAAGGCTCAGTACCTTTTTAAGGAACACTTTATCAATGACAAGTCAAGGTCATTGATAAACGAGAAACTGACATTGTGAAACCCGATGTGCTCTGTCAGCATCAAGACGAGCAATTAAATGGGCCGAATAAATTTAACACAAATGCCAGATGTTAGAATAGAACACACATATATATTCAGCTGTCAAAACAAATGGTAAGAACTGATGGCTTCCAGACCATGTCAAATTCCTCACTTTCATCTGAATCAAATTTTGCAAAGACACGCTTGAACTCTGGGAATTCATAAATAGTTGTCCTTGGAATGACACAACTGAAATCTGACCCAATGCCTTGACTTTATTTATTTACCACATTTGTGCTCAACCAGTGAGAAATAGACCAGCATTATGTGTGTGGGTTCCAAGTCACAGGCTTAGTGGTAAAATCTCTGTGACACACGGCCTCTTTTGGCCCAGAGTGCACATGCATGCAATACTGTATCCCACAAATGCAATGTGCTTGACTTGACTTTCCATAGAAGTGTGATGAATAATCAGCCATGATTAATATCAGCCATGACATCTCCTTCTTGATTTGAGTCATTGCATTTCTTGAATCATTATATTATAACTACTTTTTTTATTTGTTATTATTATATATATTTTTTACTTTATATGTCATTTTAACCGATAACAGAAAAAATGAGCATTTATCGGCCGATACCGATATGGTGGCCGATATATCGTGCATCCCTAAAATCATCTTTAAACAGCAGCGACTTTCCAATCCTGTTTATGAAATTGTGAAAATGAGGTTATTAATGTAGATTGCCTGTTTCTGCTCTGAATCACTAAGCTGAGATGATGGGTTCGATCTGTCGTGACTGTGTTATGTGTGTACTATTATAGCATTTTTATAGTACTATAGTATAGTGGTATATTTATTTACAGTATATTGATATGAATTTAACTTGTATTTTATTAGGTTTTTTAACTTTATTCGTTTTTATTATTAAATCATGATTAGAAAAATAAAATCATGATTATCTACATTATTTGTTGCATAATGTTATTTGGCTCAGAAAATTATTTTGGATTGTCCAGTAGTTGTTTTAAAAGAAGAAATTGTGCATACCAAAATGGTTTTTGGAAGTGAAAAAGAAAAAGTCATTGTATAATTTACAGTGAAATACCGTAAATTGACACTCCCAGAATTCCCTGCATGACACTTCATATTTTATGTTTTTTTTTGTTGAAATAACATGTTTCTTCTTCGTTTTTTCTTATTAGATGTGTACAGTAGGGTTTAATCTTACATCTAATGTTGTTAAATGAATGTTTATTGCATTATTTCAGTTTCATGTGTGTCACCATGATGGGCTTTAGTGTTTGTGTGAATGACACTCTGTGCACCTTCTATATATAAGTATTGCCCTCCTCAGCTCGTAGAAAAGCTGTGTGTGATGAGCTTTGGTTCATCATGTGACTTTCTCATCACCACCAGTTTTGGTGGTTATCAGTGCATTTCAATGGTTCAAGACAGATATTAACACTTCAATATATTGGTTTATTAACATTACATCAGTTAATGAAATTCTGTATTTTATTGTGAATTTAAGTTAAATCTGTAAAACCTAAAATGTTGCTACCATATTTTTTTTACGGTGAAGTTCTGGCAACCACAGCTGCCGGTATTTTACCGTAAATGTTTTTTTACAGTGTACAAATTAATTGAAACTAAATAGAAGCTAGATGGCTAAACCAACAAAATATATATTTTATTCAAAATATGAATAAATACTAAAATATTATATAATAATACTAAAATAACACTGGGATGGAGTTGTATGTAAACAGTACATTTCTGGTGTTTTGTGTGAAAGTGATCAGGTTTACCAATGTTTTGTGGACATGTTTGAAATTTGATTTCTGATATGTTCCTTATTGTGCACAATTCATCTGTGCATGTTTTCCATTTAATCTTACATCTAATGTTGTTAAATGAATGTTTATTGCATTATTTCAGTTTCATGTGTGTCACCATGATGGGCTTTAGTGTTTGTGTGAATGACACTCTGTGCACCTTCTATATATAAGTATTGCCCTCCTCAGCTCGTAGAAAAGCTGTGTGTGATGAGCTTTGGTTCATCATGTGACTTTCTCATCACCACCAGTTTTGGTGGTTATCAGTGCATTTCAATGGTTCAAGACAGATATTAACACTTCAATATATTGGTTTATTAACATTACATCAGTTAATGAAATACAGTATTTTATTGTGAATTTAAGTTAAGTCTGAAAATGTTAAAATGTTCCTACCATATTTTTTACGGTGAAGTTCTGGCAACCACAGCTGCCGGTATTTTACCGTAAATGTTTTTTTACAGTGTACAAATTAATTGAAACTAAATAGAAGCTAGATGGCTAAACCAAAACAATATATATTTTATTCAAAAAATGAATAAATACTAAAATATGATATAATAATACTAAAATAACACTGGGATGGAGTTGTATGTAAACAGTACATTTCTGGTGTTTTGTGTGAAAGTGATCAGGTTTACCAATGTTTTGTGGACATGTTTGAAATTTGATTTCTGATATGTTCCTTATTGTGCACAATTCATCTGTGCATGTTTTCCAGATGAAAGCAAAATGTCTTAGTAACCTTTTATCAAAATGTAATACGCTGCACTGGCTCTGAAACAGCTTTCTATCTCATGAATCCTTCTTCAGTCCCTCTCTTCTGAACACCTGGCTCCGATTGGATAAAATCAAGTCCCGTCCCGCTTTTTTTTTCTGGTTGAAAATCCCATTTCACTTGAAAAAAGTCATATCACAGTGGTCAAATGTGTTGACTTGAAAGTCACAGAATCAGGCCTGAAATGTATGTTTTTTTGTTTTTCTATGTTTTGCAGGTATCATCCTCCTGCGTTCCTGTTGCCAACTATGAACTGGTAAGAACGTCTGTGGTTGTTTTGATCATTTGTTTTTGTTTTCGTTTCATAAAACAGCCATCACTCAGAATCTGAACTGTTAATCAGATTGATGATAAAGAGATGTTTGCCAATTTTGGAGACCAGAACGTATCATCCCACAACCATTAATATTTATAAGAAGGAAATAAAAGCTTGGGGTCTTCGGTTCAGATCTCTCCCAAGACCTAAATAAGCCAGGGGGAATAACAAAGCATAAGCGATAGCATAGTGAACAAACATTCCTTTTTTGGTTTGAATTGTGTTTTTGGACTCCAAAAGATCTCTTTCCTCCTCCTTCTCCTCCTTCTCCTCCTCCTCCTCCTCATGTACGCTTGCTCGTGCAAGGCAAGCCAGAATCCATCATTGCTCTACCCGTGTTACTAAAAAGTCTCTTGTTTAATATCGTGTCCTCAAAATGGAACACATATTTTTTGTTGTTTTTCGAGGGAAAGTTTGGCTTTCATCAGTTGGACGTGGTTTGGTTGGAAGCTGGAGGACAGAAACATAAACTGACTTTTTAGACATGGGAAAAAACATGCCACAGGACGGCAAAGATACAAGGGATGAATCTGTTAATGTGTTTGCATTCACCTTTCTATTTTATTTTTTTATTAAATTAAATTAAATTAAATTAAATTAAATTAAATTAAATTAAATTAAATTTGTTTTGCAGGTATCATCCTCCTGCGTTCCTGTTGCCAACTATGAACTGGTAAGAACGTCTGTGGTTGTTTTGATGACCCGTTTTTGATCATTTCCTAGAACCGTCATCACACGGAATCTGCACTGTTAATCAGATTGATGATAAAGAGATGTTTGCCAATTTTGGAGACCAGAACGTATCATCCCACAACCATTAATATTTATAAGAAGGAAATAAAAGCTTGGGGTCTTCGGTTCAGATCTCTCCCAAGACCTAAATAAGCCAGGGGGAATAACAAAGCATAAGCGATAGCATAGTGAACAAACATTCCTTTTTTGGTTTGAATTGTGTTTTTGGACTCCAAAAGACCTCTTTCCTCCTCCTTCTCCTCCTCCTCCTCCTCATGTACGCTTGCTCGTGCAAGGCAAGCCAGAATCCATCATTGCTCTACCCGTGTTACTAAAAAGTCTCTTGTTTAATATCGTGTCCTCAAAATGGAGCACATATTTTTTGTTGTTTTTCGAGGGAAAGTTTGGCTTTCATCAGTTGGACGTGGTTTGGTTGGAAGCTGGAGGACAGAAACATAAACTGACTTTTTAGACATGGGAAAAAACATGCCACAGGACGGCAAAGATACAAGGGATGAATCTGTTAATGTGTTTGCATTCACCTTTCTATTTTATTTTTAAATTAAATTAAATGTATTTATTTTATTTATTTATTTATTTATTTATTTAACCCTCAGATATTATATAAGATATTATTTAAAAAAAACAAGGAGGTTTCAAGCTGATTTTCAGCTACATTTATTGAATCATCACCGCCGAGAATGTGATTGTGTGGACAACATAATTATATTGAACATCCTTTAAAGTTGCATATACTTTCTTCTTTTAATTTAATATAATAATCTATTATTATTTTTTTAAATATTATATTTAATCTTAAAATATATTATATTATATATGATATTAATCTCTAATTTTGTAGGGTTAGTTATTAAAATTCTATTATTAATAAAATTAACAAATGTAAAGCAAAATAATTAAATATGATTCAAATAATATTAATATTTTAATGATAATCTAATATAAGTATTGGTTTCAGTTGAATGTGATCAATTAAATCTAAAACTATTAAAAATGTTTTTGGTTATTGAAGAAATAATATTAAATATAAGTATTAGATGAAAAAAAAAATGTTGCCTTGGTAACTAACTGAAATATGTTAAACTAAACTTTTTTTACATTTATTTATTGGTTTATTTAGGTAGGGACAGTACAAAAATCATGATTCCAGCCAAAAGAAGCTGAAAAATACACACGCGCACTGCCTTCAGCAAGGACAAAGTTGCTGAACTCACTGTTTACAATGACGCAGCTCACTGAAGCCGAACACAACCCTGTTTAATGGCTTTTCTGTGAATTCAGGAGTGTTTCTGTGAATGGCCTGAATCTTGTAGACCTGCTTTCTCCTCGCTCCATGTTTGGTAAATTCTCCTCTGCTAAACTGGTTGGCTGGCTGGAGGTTAGACCTGTGATGTGACACCCAATAACAAGGATCAAATGCCAGTGTGAATTTACAATTGTGGATGAAAAGGTTCACCGTAGGTGATGATATGATCTTAAAAACATAAAGGAACTTTTTTTTGCATTGTGACATTGTTTTCATTGCAATTAAACATATCTACTGCCAAAATTATAACAATACAAAATTATAATTGTAATATTTTATTTTAAATAAAATTATTATATTTTATTATATATTTATAATATATATTTGTTGTACTACATTTATGATAATTACATTTTAAAGATCATTTTATAAATTACTATTACAGTATGTTACTCTATTACAGTAATGAGTATTTTGCAGAAAATATGCTGGATTGTAATTAAAATAATTTCAGCTGTGTTTATATGAATACGGCTAGATTTAATGATGAAATAATGGGTTACATTTTACCCCAAAATCAAATGAAAGAAAAAAATGTTTCATGTTTCCTTGACAAATAAAATGTTTACTACTAAAATTATAACAAGTAATTTAACTAATTTATTTATTATATTTGTATTAATTTTTAAGCGAAAGTATAACATTATATTTTAATAATTGTATAAAAATTTAATATAATTATTGTAAAATTTGTTATTTTTAAACATTTCATTACAGTTACTATTACAGTACATGTTACTGTATTACAGTAATGTGAATTCTGCAGGAAATGAGCTGAATTGTTATTAAAATAATGTGGAAAAATATCTTAATTGTATTTTTTTTTCATTAGGTTTTGGGTGAAATGTGACCACACTAATGTATGTTTTTAACTTTACGTTCCCTATCCAAGGTGATCTGCTATGTTGTACTTTTTTAAATGACACAAGTAGATGGCCAGACACATACACTGCGTGGGCATTATCTCAATAATATGTTCTCTACATCACTGCTTATTTTTTGAAGACAGGCTTCAGACTTTCTCTCTCTCAGAGCTGTCTACCATCCTCTAGAGCCATCTGGCCTGCGTCTGTTTCACCACAATGTGATATTGGCCATAATTGGCCATGAGAGGGTGAAGTGCATGCCGGGCCTCGGATGACATTAAGCAGACCAGTGTTACTCTGGTCTTTCCAGGTCTTTCTGTGTTTACACTCTGTGCCCAGGCCCCTTAGGGCTCTCTGCTTCACATCCTCTCTCGTTTTCTCAGCACATACGATGCATTATGCAATATGTGAAATGTAGGAGTCTGTTTTGAGGGGCTTTGTGACATCCTTCCCCTGTTGTGAGTGTTAATCCAGGGTCATAGGTTTGCTTTGGGATGTCTCTGTTCACAGGTTCTCACAGCTCGGAATTCTTTAGCTGAATACCATCTTCGGAATTCTTTCCGTAGAATTCTCCTGGGATGGAAGGCAGGCACGGACCCTCCATTAGAGTAATGTAAACACAGAGTGCCACTGAAATGCACAATGTCTCATCTGTTTACATTTTTCCAACTGTATTGTGCTGAAAAGTTGCAGGTGGCCATTAAAGCATGAGAGAAAGGCTGTCGCTGATGTCAGGTTAGGTGCGTGTTAGCCGCCGCATCCCCTGAGTCAGATACGCTGGAGACCTGGCCAACTTTCCACCCTAGTTGTCGATGTTCATATGAAGAGCTTTTTTTATTTATCAAAGTTTGTTGTTGTTTCAACCATGCCTGGACATTAACCAAACACTCATCATACTGACATCATACTGTAATTGGCTCTGAGGTGCTGGAGACGGGAATGAAACAACATGTCCTTTTTAGGTGCTCCGTGTGCCGCGCTTTGACAGATATCTTCAGATATACAAGCTGAACAGTTGCCTTTCCACAGTGGAACCAAAACAAAGAGTTATGAGATCATCCCAAATGATGAGGGGTTGCAAGTGAATCTGTGTTTTTTTTTTTTGATGACCTATGCAAGCCCTCAAACCCCTAAAAAATGAGCAGTCAACCA